AGAACCTTCTGGAACGAATTCTTACCAGTTTAGCCCAGAATGTTTCCATGTTCCCGAACACAAGCAGAAAGCTATATAAACCCTACTGGTTCGCAGGTTCGCAGTCAGTTAGAGTGTGCCTCGGCTAGCGAGCTGATAGTCAGTCATTGAGCGTCTCGAGGTCTAGCGCCGAGTTGGTTGTCGAGTGCATCGAGAGAGTCTTTTAGTGTATCGCGAGTTAGTACATCGTCGAGTTTTGTTTTAGACTGTGCTGATTCGCGAGCTATACACTTGTGTATCGTCGAGTGCATTGCGAGTTGTAGTGTGGAGAGTCTAGAAAGTATGTGGAGTTCCAAGAACGACCAAGCAGAGTCGGGAGCTGTACTCTGGTGCTTTGCAGTGAAGCTGTCTCCACCGTGATAGCCTGATAACCTGAAGGCTCTGTCGCTGATCGTGTCAGCGTGTTTATAGTAGGTCTTCGACGACTGTAAAACGGGACTTTGAAGTTGTCCTGATTAATATTGGCCAAATAAAGTGTGCTTCGATACTTCATCAAGTGTCGTCGTTATTCACTCCAAATCTGCGAACCCTGTACGAACGTGAAGGAAGAAAATAACTTAACAACTGGTGTCAGCAGAAAAGAAAAACGTAAAAGTATAAAAGTAAATCCCATAAAAGAAACTTAACTGCCCTTGTTTTCAAAAGTTAAACAACAAATTGAAAAATCTTGATAAATCAATTAAAAATAGTTGGAAGTTCTTAAAATTTGGATATGTTACAAATAAAAGCAAACTGCACTGAGTAGCATTATGCAAAAGAATGGCACTGCTATTGCTTTACGTAAATACGATGCAGTTTAAAATCGAATTGCTGCAGAATGAACGATGGATGTTAAACAATTTTGAAAGGTTTAAAAGGTTTGAGGCGACATTTGCTAGAAGAAAGGCGTCATAGAGCCATCAACCAATTAGAAGCAGGTTAACGAAATTCTGACATTGCAGGACTGTTAAATGTCGACTTTTCCATGTTAAGCCAGTCGTGGAATCAATTTCTAACTACTGGTTCAGGCTCCCGAAGGTAGGCCAACCGTGATCACTTCTGCAGATGGCCGGTATTTGCGACTTACTGCATGTCTCTATAGGAATGCAACCCCATGTCAACTTAGATCCGCACTTATTTCTACTACAGAAAGGACAGTGTCAGACACTACAATACACAAAAGGCTGCATAAAAGACGTTTGGATTCTAGTATAGAAAAGAGTAAGTACATTTTGAATTGGCCCAAATACCGACTCTGCAACGAATTTTCTGGTAACCAAGAATCGACTCTGTTTCCTCAGTGTTACGGCAACCATTTCCTTTGACGCGTGTCAATGTCTTCCTTGAGTTTAATCTGATCGAAAGTTCTTAGTTTAGTGCTGATTACTACATAGTTTATAGTACGCGTATCATGTACCACAAGTACCGTATTTCGGATTTTGACCGTATTTTAAACTATTGGAATTTTAATTCTCAACTAAAATTCCAATAATCAAACATTGACTTTTGATTTTGGTTAAATGGTTGATTCTAATTTATCATTGTGCCGTCACTCCATAAAAATGTATGCCTGGTAAGACAAATAATCTTCTTTTTCGTGATTTAGACAGAAAGGGTAAGAAACAACTGATTGGTCTGCAAATGAAGGTTTACTTAGTTCTTGCTGCGAATGTCAAGTTTGCACGAGAGATATACGTCTGGCCTAGTTTAAGGATCAATCGAACGGCTATCAGTGGGTTTTAGTTCTAGTAGACGCGAGACAAGTGTCCAAACTGGTGCTCATATCAACACCATTGAAGGCATATGGAGCCCTCAATTGTGCGAGAACTTCGCAAGAGTAAGACTTCTGCAGTCATCAGATGATATTCTGTGTTCCTACTTTCTAGAGCTTATGTGGCGTCGTCAGTATGGGGATCAGAAGAACGAGAATCAATTGTGGGACCACATGATTTGCATTATGTATGTGCAGCAGTCAACCGATGCAGATGATGAGAACGCAGTCAGGAATACATGAGGTGACTACTTTTGTTGCTTTTGTAACATGAATTTTCAGCGTTGTTTTGAATCACATCCATCTTGGAAACATTGCATCTTGGCGTCATAAAAATCGGCAAAAATATCAAGGACACCCGATTGCAGATTTTTACCGAGGTCTGTATGCAATGTGAGTCCCGCTTACTTCCCGCCACCGGAGAGTACGTTTGATTTAGGCACGTAGTGTATAAACTGGACTGAAAATCAGTGGAGGTCTGTTCTGTTTACCAATGTGTTCCGAAAGGGATACCTATGCAGCAAATATTGTTCTTGTAACGTAAGGAGTATCTTTAGATGGGCGCACAGATGTGTATGTGCTGCCAGATGGAACTGTCAATGCTCAGAGGTACAAAGAACGACATAATGGATCTTATTTCTTGTCCATATGCTACCGCAATTGGAGATACTTTCATTTTGCAATCAGATAGGGCTCGTTTTCACATTGTTCGTTTCGTGCACCAAATTCTTGAAGAAGAAACTTAGTCCAAATGGAATGGCTTGAACCTACAATAATTCCATAGAATATGAGTCAGACGCTCTCGGGAGACATGTTGCTGCCTCCAACCTTTTTCCAAACCCCAGACAGGCTTAGAACTGCTTTACGTGATCAATGGGAATTGCTACCAATGCAGCTCATTATCAGTGTCAGGCCTGTATTGCTATTCGGGGTGATCATACTTACTGTAAAGACTTTTTTTTTTGCATGTAAGGTATATCTTAATTTTATAACAGTTATTTTAATTTAGTTAATACTTCCCCTCATTCCTCGTTTCAATTTAAAACTCCCTACTGGAATTAGTTTTTAGAATCGCATTGAATGCAAATGAGTAAAAAAAAGTATTAAAGGAAAGTTCAACTTACTTCGTGAGAGACAGCTAGGAGGTCTAAGTGGCGCGGGTTTGCCTTTGGGCTAAGTCTCTCGAACTGCTGTTACGCTCGGCTGTATATTAAGTGCCTTTGGATAGTTCGCCGGCTAGTTTAAAGCTAAGGGCCAACTACGGTAGAATTGTGTTAGCTTCTACTAAATCTTTTAGTTAGATATAGTTAGCTCTTATTTCTTATTTTTGAGTTTAAGCCCAGGTGGAAGCTTTGTTGTAAGACCGAAAAATGGGGCCGACTGTTCATCTTGTTTTGAGTGCATAAAGAGGAATGAACCCTTCTTGAGTTTACGATTTCTGTTATTTGAACTAAGCGGTAATTCGCTTAATAGTTCACTGGGTTAGTGAGTCCTGGGCATTTAGTGTAGCAGAATAAAAGTTAGGAACACTACATGCATTAAATTTGTATGCCCGAATTTAGGAAATTTTATGTTCCTGCTGATATCACAAAATGTACCTATTCTATATAACATTTTCTTGTGTTTTTAGGTTAGAAGTAATTAAATAAATATTATCACCACGTTTCGTCCAATTTGCTTACATAGTTTTCTAATCATCACCAGTTTTCAATTTATACGATTCTAGTTAAATTATGCGTCTCTAGCAACTAGAACTTTGGGGAAGGATATGGCGACTATTCGCTGTTTTTCTTACAACTATAGAAACAAAGTCCAAAGAAAGGTTAAAATGCCCTTTTATTCCACTCAAAGAATAATAAAAGTTAGCCCCTCTCAGGCGTACAGGAAAGCCTCCACTTAGGCTTAAGATAGAAAATTAGAAACGAACTTAATTCTAACTAAAATTTAGCCGAAGTTGTACAGAAAGAAGTAACCGAGTTGGTCCTTATACCTCACCGACAAATACTAACAGGCGCATAAGATTACGGCTGAATGTAGTAAGATAGGCTTAAAAAAATGACGTGGCAGAAGGCAGAACACGCTGTACTGAGAATTTCTTATCTTTTCTGCGGAAGTAACTGAACTTCCCATTCAATACGGTGTAGTGTTCCTCCCTTTTATTCTATTAAACTAAGTGTTGAGGAACCTAGTGAACAACTAAGCGAATAAGAAGAACAGAAATGTAAACTCAAAGAGGTTTATTGTTCACAAAGGTTATTTGTTTCAAATAAAGATATTCAGATGGGCGCTTTCTCAGGGGGGACAAAAAGCCTCCACTTGGGCTAACTTAAAAATGTAAGAAATAAGAATTATCTAATGACTAAGTAAAGAGATTTAGACGAAGCTAACACTAATTCTAACCTAGTTGGCCCGTAATGTTCAACTAGCCAATGAAACTGTCAAAAGGCACGTAATACGACCGAGGGTAGTAACAGTTAAAGAGACGCCGCCGAAAGGCAAACGCGCACTATTCAGAAATTCTAACTCTCTCTCTCGAAGTCAGTATAACTTTGACTTATATACTTCTCATTTGCATTTAACGTGATTCTAAAATCTCAATAAGGTAAGGAATTGTAAGCTGAAGCTAGATGAGATAGGAAAGGTACATAAAATGTTATAAAATTAGGATATACTTTACAACTGGTTCTACCTCATTTTCATAAAACGCAATACTAATTTATTCTGGCAGGGAGTTTTAGGTGAGAAACAAGATAATAAAGGAAACGGTTTTGAAATTAAATAAAACTATTCGAAAATTAAAATAATCCCTACAGGTTTGTGGCTTAATTTTAGGAAAGCAGTGCATGAAGAGGGTGGGAACGATCCTTTATAGCTTATAGCTTACAAATAATATTGTGAACTAGTTTTTTTTTTAATTTATTTTTATTTTGCTGGATTAAAAATTAGTTTGTTTTAAATTTCAAACCTAGCTATAATGAATTTGGACTGATCGACACTGAACAATGCGAGGGCATTGCTACAAAGTTCGTGATTTAATGAATGACTTCAACTTTTTTTGATGAACGGAATTATATGACTTTAAGGTAATTTTGATGAAAAGAACTACAATTACAGTACTGCTGTGTTTTAAGTAATGTAACGTAACATGCTTAAAGAACACATCTAATTAAAAAAACATTAAAATGCTTCTGAGTAGTATAATTATGCTTACCATAACAGGAATGGCCCATCGTCCAAAAGCAATATTTTTCCTTTTAGGATGCACAGTATATGCTCCAATAGCTGTTAATGGAGTCTCTCTAATGGTTTCATAATCCATTTTTGAGTATAATAACTTTTGAATGAGCACTGTAAATATGAATAACTGCTTATTTACTACTTAATTAAATTGTCCACAATAAATCTACTTGTAACTATACTAAGTATCTTTCAGCTGAGAAATTGAACTTTATGGAAAGTACTCTGATCTGTAACTTTGCGCGTGAAAGTGATAAAATTGCGTTTTACTTCAACAAGCAACAGCTGAGTGTGTACTGTTTAGATGTAAAATGCAAATGCTCTTCAGAATCTCGCGAGATTTTATTGTGATTAAGGAAAAGTGTTACTGTAACAGGCAACGCTTAATGAGATCGCGGTTAATATTATTATTCGAATATTTTTAGCGAATTTCTGAAGTTCCACCCGTTTGTATTCAAAAACAAGGAAAATCCATCGCTTATTCTCATCAATAATTCATTTAATATGATCAAGCTATTATAGCATAATTTTTTAAACTGAAGTAAAGTGGACAAATAAGCTCAAAACTGATTATAAAAATATTCAAGTTACAAAACCAAAGTGTGGAAGTAAGGAAACAAATCGTCAAACAGCTTGATTCCGGTTTTAGTAAATCATTTAAAATAAAACACAGGCAAATAAAAAATAACCTTAGTTTGCCATAGATTTCCCCAAACTCTATTGATTTTAAGAACGATCAGAGTATCGGATTATTTATGGAAGGAAAAAAAAATTCTGAGGAAAACATGAAAGAAAGCTTTTCTTACGGTTTTTGCTCCAGAAAAAAAAAAAAAAAAAAAAAAAGAATCTTTGAAACATCTACTCCAGATAAAGATGCTTTTTTGCCTAGTTTTAAACTTTACACCGGCAAGTTATCTTCCAAAAAGGGTTCCAAAGAGGGATGCTCTCCGAGTTGACATTAGTGGTATAGCCAAGACAGGGTTGAGCCAGTTGAGGGCTTCTGGTGGTAAAATATTTGGGGGGGGGGCTCTTAAAAAATATTTGCATATTTGAGAATGCTTGAAATGAAATAGCCACCTTATTCGTAGTCTTCATCTCTTCTCTTAACGCTTGCTTTTTGAACGTTCTTCACTGGCCTTTTTTCTTCACTGGCTTATGAAATATATACATATTTCATATTTCATTCATTTTCATATTTCATATTTCATATACTGGCTTATGAAATATATACATATTTCATATATTCATATTTCATATATGTGTTTGTTAATATACATATATATATATGAATATATTCATATATACATTTCTGTTTATATGGCCAAGCCATCTTAGTTGAGAGTCTTTAATAACTTTTATTGTATTTGGTTCTCTAAATTTTTGCTGTAGTTCAAAATTATATCTCATTCTCCACACTCCATTTTCCCCTACTTCTCCGAAAATTCTTCTCAAAATCTTTCATTCAAATGTCATTACTCTGTCCTCATCTGCTTTATTCATTGTCAACACTCGCTTCCATACAACACTATCGGTCTTTTGAAGGTCTTATAAAACTGTGTTTTAGTTTTACTGATTAAATATTTTGGTTTAAACTGTTTTCGTTATCCATGATAGCATTTGTTAACAATGTTAATTCTGGTCTTGATTTCAATGGAAATGTCATTCTTATTGTTTACAATTGCACTAAAATATTTAAGTTATTGAACCTTCTTAAAAACATAGTAATTTATTTTCAGCGGTATCAGGTTATGTCTTCTATTTATAGCTGTCATGAACTTAGTTATTTCTTCACTGACTGTCCAACTAATATTTTTTGCTGCCTACTCAAGCATACAAAATGTCTCAGCTTTTGCCGCCTTTGCCGCCTTCGTTCTTCTCACGATATCAATCTTGTTTTTCAAAGTGCAATATTTAAAAGCTAGCCGGAAAGAGAATCTCTTTGCTTTTCCAGTATAAAAAATCTGATAATTCCTATATTTACTATATAGTTTACTCTCCTAAGGATCATCTTTATCAGATTCGTATTTCCAACTCCAGCATCGAGGGAAAAATTTTTTCCTGATAATGCTATCTTAAGCAGTCTTAAAAATCAACAAAAAAGTGATGCGTATCTGTATCATATTCTTGTGCCCTTTCGAATGTTTGCCTAATAGTGTGCATTTGGTCAGCAGTAGATCTACCCTTCTGAAATCATCACTGATATTCACCAATTATTATTATTATTATTAATTTTGTAAAAGCAGCTAGCCATCCTGATAAAATGTTTGAGAATATCCTATATGATGCGTTCAACAGCGTGATTCTTTTGTAGTTCTTATACTCCACCTTATCTCTTTTTTTATGGAAACACATTCGCGTTCTACGGGCATTATTTCTAGAGCCCAAACATTGGAGACAATAGATTGTACTTCTTCAGTCAGTTTAGGCTCCTTGATTTTCAAGAGCATGGCCTTGATACTTTCCAGTCCTGCCGAAATGTTATTGTTTATTCATTGCTGTCGCCACTTCATCCACGGATGGTGGTTCTAAGTCTCGTCTTGATAGTTCTAAGAAGTGTCACCTGGTTCTTCTCCCAATTCATCCAACATATCTTTTCTATCAAGAGCAGTCTTGAAATATTCTCTCCATCTGCTACGTATTTCGATTTTCTCATTAATAAGTTCATCTCTTTAATCAGGGCAAGTATGCATCCTAGTACAAAAATCTTTTCCAGTATTGTTTATTATGTTATAAAACTTTCTTGCCTTTTCCTGTTTTTTAAAATATTCTCTTTCCTTATAAATCTCCTCTCAATATACTCTCTTTTTCATTTTAAATAATCTTTTTCCCTCTCTTCTAATTTCTTTATACTCATCCTTGGCATTTCTTGTGTAATATTTTTCCACCATAAGATGGTATGCGGGGTTTTCTTTTGATTAATTACTTCACATTTCCCATCATACCCCTTCCCCTTTTTTTAAGGATTGGAAGCATTTCCTTAGCTGCCTCTAATATTATGAGCTTTAGTTCTTCCACTAGCGATCCTCATTATTCTCATTCTCAATCATTACAAATTTCTCCTTTATTTTGTTCCTGTACATAGTTATAACACACGGATGCCTGGACACGGATACTTTAAGAACCCCTAGGAATTTTACTGTGTGTTGAAATAAAATAAAAGAAAACGCATAATTACTTAATATTATTAATATTTTAACAAAAAAATTATTTAAACATAATCAATAATTTTATTAAATTTATAAAATTTTTAATCAATACTTTTTAATAGTATTATAGGTACTATTCGGTTTCGAGGACCGTAAAAAAATTGCAGCGAAAATGTATGCGCGAAAGCGCCAAATTTAGAAAACACGGCCATTTAACAGCGTGCCAAATCTCGCGTACGCGCTGATTTCAGATTGCGTAAGTTTATATAGTTCTATATTTTTTAAGACGCCATTGAAATACTAGTTTAATTTTAAATTCCTTTTTTTGATATCCTATGGATTTAACAATTTGGGAATTGCCTATGATGAAAGGTTCTGCGATAGAATTTTGGGTAAAGTGTAGAATCACCCACTGCGTGACGCGTTTTTTTGCATATACTCAGAATCCATGAGCACATCCACCTATTTTCACTTAAAAAAAAATCCTAGAATTGCACAAAAATGGCAATGCGCACACCCTTGACTTTATCTATGTACACATCGACCTATTGTCACTTAAAAAGTAAAAGAAAATTGACACAATTCCAATTGTTTTTACCCTTGTAAAAAGCGGCAAAGAAATAAGCGGGCGATTCAGCACTTTACCGAAAATGTTTTCAAAGAAAAGGCATCATTCATTACAGAAAACTATGTTTGAACAACCAACGAGATGACATTATGCTTTAGCGATAACTCGATAGCGAAATATTATATGAATTTAACCTTTCATCTAAATTAAAACATCAATATTTACATAGTTATTTACTATTATACTTCCTTTCTTGCGTTAGGGTTGCCGCAATTACTTTTGGCAGTACTGGCATCAACAATAGTTTGGCGAATTTTTACGGCCCTCGAAAGCGAATTGTACCGTATTGGGTAATATTAATTTTTGTGCATATCAGGACTAAAATACACAAAAATTAAAATTATATCAATGAATTAAATATTACACGGTAGAGGAAAGTAAAATATTCAATTGCTAGAACACTATTAGATGATTGCATGTAACAGATTAAATTTTTTTTTCCTTGTCTTCTTTTTAGCAAATTCATCGTTCATTTTAGAATTATAGATGCTGTTTAACACTTCTTGTTCAATACATATTAAAACCATACAGTTTAATTTTTCTTCTGGAATGCATTTCTTAAATAGTTTTTTACCTTTTTCAAGCAGCGAAAGCTCTCTCTCTGAATGCATTTGAAATTGGAATAGTGAAAAACATTATTTGAATAATTTGTACATCAGAAAAAGTTATTGACATTTCTCCTAGAGCATGATAATGTTATAAGGTATTTCTGCCTTCCTAGTGTGCCTTCGTGATGTAGTGGTCAGCACAATGAGCCGGTATTTCAGAGATCCGTGGTTCGATTCCCGGCGAAGGCGTTGCTAATTTTACAATCTGTGTTGCTTCCAAAAAATCCTAATGTCTCTACAGTGTTTCAGAAATAAATTTGTCTTCACTCTCTTTTAATAAAATAAAACTGTTCCATTTCATTATCAAAATGCATAACACATACATCATTTTAATAACTCTATTTATTGTTCATACAAAGACTTTTTTTTTAAATTCAACAAATTTAAATTAAAGAATATTTTGAAATGATCAATATTATTTTTACATGCTTCGTTTCTATGAGCAAGTTATGATACTATATTGTCCCAAATAATATTAAAAGAATTAATGATAATTTGTTCTGTTATGTTGTTACTTATCTCATTTGTCTGTCAGTAGCATCAGAATAAGTCCACGAAATTTATCGTGGCAGGGAGTACAAGATTGCTTCTGCCGTTGGCAAAAGCCTTAAGAACGATATAGGTGACAGTACGACTTCGTTTCGCTCAGTTCAGCCTCCCAATTTTGATGGAGAGCCTCTCGGAGGGATGGGTATGAGGGTCTCCGACATCCTCTTCCCCTAATACCAACCTCTCGAGAGAACTTTCGGCTCGCCGAAGATTTAGAGTGCCCACATGCTGCACGGATACTATACATTTC